TTATTTTATTTCTTTATTTCGGCTTACATGACCAAAGGTCTCAAGCACATGTATAAAATACAGTTTATGTTTGAACACCCAAACAAAGTTAAAACAGGGAGCTTCTCCAAATCGGTAGGATATAATCAGTATAAAACGTTCCGAATATATTGTTTAAAATAGTTAAGATAAATACATATAAGCTTTTCAGTGGTATCCACTATTTACGCTTCAGTGCTATTATAGTTGCTAAATACCTTGCTACTGAAGCAGTAATTGCCAGGTTAGTATCTGTCAGCAAATAAGAAATCACCCATGACTCAAGTGGAAGATGATATTTTGTTAAAATGGGTAGTATCCAATAAGACCTAGGAGCTATCCAGTGGAAACAAAAGAGAAGGAGGTGTGTCAATCTCAATGGGTGCGCCGATGCAAACTCTATCTGAATAGGGAATGCGTGCAAAATGACCCGTTAACGCTGCAGATGGTACAACATTTAGCCTAGCAAGAGTAAAAGCAATCCTATATGATGGAAGAGTCAACGAGGGGGAATCCCCAATGCTAGTGGAGAGCATACGCGCCTTGCACATGGGGCAGTGCTCGCCCTATCCCAAATACCTGCCCTTAGTTTAATCTGGGTCCATCCTTCATGCCGGGATATATTTTCCAGCGTTGTTAATGGGATACCAAGGAGATCCAGTTTCTTATCTATTTGCTTAAACCAGGTTTTTCTATAATTATCCTCCTTCAATTTATGTATTAGGTTTCCTGATGTTGAATTAGAAAAACAGACCTTCAGTCTTAGTCTAAAAGCAGCCAACCATGCTCTAGGTTCTAGGGAGCTTTGGACCAGCTCCCACCTAAGCACCACTCTGGCCATGCATTTCGGAAGGCCCATGATTCGTCTTAAAAATTGTATCAGTATATTATCTAAATATTCTGAAGCTGGACCCCACACTTCACTCAGTCTCAGAGTGGCTTACAAACTCCTTTCCCTTCCCATCCCCTCAACAGACACCCTGTGAGGTAGGCAGGGCTGAGAGAGCTCTGACGGAAACTGCTCTTTTTTTTGAGAACAGCGCTGACAGAACTGTGGCTTGCCCAAGGTCATCCAGCAGGTGCAAGTGGAGGAGTGGGGAATCAAACCCAGTTCTCCCAGATTAGAGTCCACACACTTAACCACTACACCAAACTGGCTCATTAATCCAAATGGGAACGCCGTATAAAAACTGAAGTATTATTTTTGCATTGAAAGCTTTGATAGCCATTGGTATATATTGGCCACCTGCCGAATAATAGTATCTTAAAAGAGCTTTTACACTATGTCTAGCATTATCACGGGCTATCTTGACGTTTCCATGACAGGTTCTGAGAAAAGTCACAGGTATTTAAAATGATCTGTCAATTCAATTACACCATCATTGATTTTCCACGCTTTACGGTTATGAGTTAACTTCTTAGAGAAAACTGTAACTTTTGATTTCTTATCATTTATCATAAGTCCCTCTTGATTACAATACTCGGAGAAAGCATGTATTGTTTTCTGAAGGCCAACATCAGATCTAGAGAGCAAGATTGCATCTTCTGCATACAATAACACCGGGACTTCCTGGTCTGCCAGAATAAGTGCATGATGAGCATATTTATATCATTAATATAAAAATTAAAGAGTATAGGGGCCAATAAGCAGCCTTGCACTACCCCCTTAGCAAGATTGATAGGGTTTGTGAGCTGTCCTTCCGGGCTGTGATGTAGCTGTGCATAAGGCACTTCATATAATTTAAAGATGAGCCATAAAAGTCTTTTATTTATTGTGGACTTATTTAACTTGGTCCAAAGGCGTGATCTAGAAACGGAGTCGAAAGCAGCTTTTAAATCCACTAATGCTGCGTAAAGACAGTTGCCAGACTTAGATGAATATTTCTCTGCAAGATGGTAAAGAACTCGACAGTGATCCAAAGTGGAGGCGCCTTTCCTAAAGCCAGCCTGCTTGGAGTGAAGAACCCCGTCAGTTTCTAGCCAGGCCTGTAGTTTAGAGTGAAGGAAAGCTGCATAAATTTAGCCTAAAGAAGAGATCAAGCTGATAAGTCGATAATTTGCTGGATCCCTCCTCGCACCCTTTTTATGTATGGGAACAATTATTGCCTGTTTCCATTGATGTGGTATAATACCTGTTTTATCAATTTCAGAAAAGAGAGGAGCCAAAATATTACTCCACCAATCAGGATTTAACTTTAATAAGCCAATTGGACTTAGGTCTGGCCCTGGGACTTTGCCAGAACTCATACCACCAAGTAGTTGACTCACGGTCTCCGGAGAGACTGGGGGCCAAATATCAGATAGTTCAGTTTAAACTATTTGAAAATTAAGATTGGGAAGCTCACCAAAAATGGAAGAAAAGTATTCCTCCAAAGCATCAGGGGTTATGCAACTGGAAAATCCGGAAGCCCTAAAAAGACCCCTATTAACTATTTTCCAAAAGACTCGTGAGTCCTTACTATGAATGTCTGCAATTAACGTCTCCCATTCTTTTTGCTGGGCCGCCTGTTTTTTATATCTAGTCATTTCCCTAAGAGGCCTTTTTAAAGAGATGTACTCTAATAGATGGTTCTGTTTTTTTGGTGGCTCTAAACTGTTGTAGTTTAGACCTTATACGTCTAACACAGTCACGGCATTCTCTATCAAACCACATATTTTTTCACGTTCGCTACTACTATCTAAAGAGATCTTGGTAAGGACTGGTTTGAAAAGGTCCAAGATGTTAGTTAAATAGGTAGTCATACTCTGTATGTCTTTTTGCATAAGGAACTCGTGTACATAAAGGTTGCACGTCTCAGAGTTCATAATGTTAGTGGCCAGAGATGCAATGTGCAATGTCCATTTCTTTGGTCTGAATCCATCCGATCTATGTAATTGCTACTGATGTCACAGCTGGCCTATATAAGTCTCAGTATTAATGGAAAATGGTCCCCTCCTTGGTACTCATCCACTTTAAACTCATGCACCAGAGGTAAGAGACCGGATGTAACCAGACTCTAGTCCAATACTCTAACCCAGAGGTGTCAAACTCGTTATGAGGGCCAAATCTGACATAAATGTCACTTTGTCGGGCCGGGCCATGTGTTCCGTAAAATGTAACACCAGGTCCTGAAGATATAAACTTTATAAAGGACACAGGCAAACCCAATTAACAGAGTAAAATTAATAGAGAAAAGTCCATCTATATGAGGATGAAGAGATAACAATATGATCATAGCAAATAGGTTTCTGTTACATTTGCTTTTTTCTTAGGTACAGAATGTACTCAGAATTCTTATCTCATAGATTTTTTTTTTTTTAATGATCTTTTCCTCTTTTTTCGGGTGGTGGTGCTGCTGTGGTCTCATTACCTGGAGATTTTTGGGGTGGAGCCTGAGTGGTGGGTGTTGCCTTCTGACATACTTCCGGTGATGTTAGGGGGTGTGGCATATGCAAATAAGTTATGCTAATGAGTTGTGCCAATGAGCTCCTGCACCGCTTTTTCTACAAAATGACCCCTGGATAAACATATGGAGCAGAGGTCCATCAGTGGCCATGAGCCACAAGGCATAGATAGAAACTCTCGGTCTGGGGCAAATGATGCTCTGTATTCTTGATGCTGGGGGTGGTGGTCAACAGTGGGAGGGCCTCTAATGTCCTGGCCCCACTGCTGGACCTCCTGATGGCACTGGTATTTCTGGCCACTGTGTGACACAGAGTGTTGGACTGGATGGGCCATTGGCCTGATCCAACATTGGCTTCTCTTATGTTCACTTGTTCTGGGGCAAGTGATGCACTGTATTCTTGGTGCTTGGGGGGGGGGAACCAGGGGGAGGGTTTTA